CCCGAGGGTTCGGATCCCACATACAGACCAGTTCCCGCTCACTGGTTGAGCAAGGCGCGGGAGCAATGCCGAGGGTTGCGGTCCCATTGCCGGTCCCCGGTCCGGTGCGGGGGCAACACTGAGGGTTGCGATCCGTTGCCGGACACGGAAAAAGACAAAAAAAAAAAAAAACCACATCCTGTTGGTACATGGGTTTGTCCAGGTGCACAAAGCAAGCTAGGGAGCTAAGTCACAGAAGCCAAGAATGAGCCGTTAGAGCAATCAAGCATACAAGTTTTCATTGTGTATGTTCCCATGTAATAGTTCACTGTGTGTGGTTCCTGTTTCCATATAATAGTTTACTGTGTATGGCTCCTGTTTCTATGCAATGGCTTTTGTTTCTATGAGAAAGTCATCGGTTTCTCATGCACAAGGGGGGGTAGTCTGCAGGTCAGACTGGGGTAAAATGGGGTTACTTAGGTTAAGCAAGCAATTCTACAGAAGCAGATAGTGTACCGGTGTGGGGAGCTCTATTTCATTCCCAACTCCTCTTTAGGAAGGAATCAAAGCATTGATTCATCAGTACTTAATTTATTGTACTTAGTATGTAAAACAAGGAGTTTGACTGATTGTTTGTTAACCAAGGTGACCAGGAAAAAGATTTTCAAACCAATTCTTATTATTACTATATGACTCTTTTTTAATGTGTTTTCTGACTAATGCAAGGCTGTCTCTAATAACACCCAAATGGTTGGTTTAGAAACAACAGGTTTCCCTAGAGCCATATATAATCCACCTTGTTAGTCTGATTGTGTGGATTATATATGGGTGCAGCGGCTGCTGCACATTCAGATAAGTCCAGCCTCTGTGTAGGACACAATGACCACAGCAAAGAGGAAAAAATTAACTTTTTACAACATCATCAGATTGACCACTTGGTGTAAATCTCTTTATCAAAGCACTTTACATTTTAAAATTGTATTTCATTGGAAAAACTCTTAATAAACTAGGAATAGAAAGCACCTTTCTCAATCTGATAAAGTGCATTTACAAAAAGCCCACAGCTAACATCATAATGGTGAAAAACTGGGCGCTTTTCCCATAAACTGAGGAATAAAGCAAGCATGCCCATTCTTGCCATTTTTATGCAGCGTTGTATGGGGCCAGCATTGTATGCCAGCCAGTCTGCTCATGACAAAGAAGGAGGTCCAGACTGGAAAGGAACAAGTAAAACTGTCTTTATCCATAGATGGTATGGTCCTGTGTGTAGAAAATNAATTTAACAAAAGCATGCAAGACTTGTCTGTTGAAAACTACAAAATACTGCTAATAGAAATGAAAGACAATCTAAATAAATGTAGAGACATTTTATGTTTATGGACTAGGAGACAATATTGTTAAGATATCGATTTTTCCCAAATTGATCGATAGATTCAATGTAACCCCTCTCAAATTCCAGGAGGCTTTTTTGCAGAATTGACCAATTGCTTTTGTCGGTGGGTAGGCCTCTCTGACCAAGGGGTGAATCTGATGTAGTACCTGTTGGAGGGCCTGAAGAGATTTCAGCAAGTTTATCATCTCTGAGGTGGGG